GAGCGTTCGTCAAACCAAAAGGCATCACTAAAAATTCATAATGACCATATCTAGTGCGAATGGTCGTTTTTGCAACATCAGATCCTTTAACTTTCAATTGATAATACCCCGAACGAAGATCAATCTTAGAGAATACAGTAGCTCCTTGCAATTGATCAAATAAGTCATCAATCTTGGGTAATGGGTATTTATTCTTGACTGTCATCTTGTTCAATTTCCGATAGTCAATACATAATCTTAGCGACCCATCCTTCTTTTTCACGAATAGAACTGGAGCTCCCCATGGTGAAGTACTATGTCGGATAAATCCTCGATCGAATAATTCTTGCAATTGGACTTTCAACTCCTTAAGTTCCTTTGGAGCCATACGATAAGGTGCCATAGAAATAGGTGAAGATCCCGGATAAGTCTCAATCTCGAACTCTACCTCTCTATCAGGAGGTAACCCAGGCATCTCCTCAGGAAAAACATCAGGAAACTCGCTAACTGTACGAATCTCCTCGATTGTGGACAATGCACCTTTGGTGTTCAAAATACAAGCAATGAAGGTCTCATATCCCTTTCGGATCATACGATCAATTTCCATCGCTGAAACTATATTGGAGAGATAGCCACGCCGTTCACCAATTAACACAACAGTCCGACCATCTGAAGTCTTCAGAGTAGCCCGCTTGTATTCGCAATCCAGCTTTACCTTGTGTTTATTCAACCAATCCATTCCAAGAATTAGATCGAACTCCTCTAGAGGAAGCTCCATAAGATCAGCGAGAAAAATTTCTCCCTGAACCTCGAGAGGGCAACGCCGAAATACTTTATTCACTAATACCGATTGTCCTACTGGACTCGTAACTGTAACAGTATTTTCAGTGTTCTCTATCGGAATCTGAAGGTTTCGAGATACTGAGCTCGATACATAGGAGTGAGTGGAGCCATTGTCCAGTAATGCAAAGTATGGGATAGAATAAATAGTAAATGTACCTGCAATAACCTCAGGCTCATCTCTGTCATCCCGACGTCTAGTGGCATAAACCAAGGCTGGCTGTCTAGCCTCAGAAACTGTTGGCCCTCTATTTTGCTGAGGTCGAGCTCTACTGTCTGTCCTGGACGCTGAACCACGAGCCTTTACTTGGCTACGATCTCTAATTGGAGTATGTACTGTAGTCTGAGAACGCACAGGAGTCTGGGTAGCGATCCGCTCAGACGAAGCTAGCTGAGGACAATCCCTCCGAAAATGTCCACTAGATCCACAATGAAAACATGCTCCGGTCTTCTTATAACACTCTCCCGTGTGCCGTTTCCCACAAAAGTCACACTGAGGCACTAGAACCGGAACCGAAGAACCACCTCTACTAACAGCTAAAGGTGATGATACAGTAGGCCTGAAGCGTGTATTGCTCCTCTGAGGGGCTGCAGTACGAGTCCTCTTACCGGAATGTGCGGATGATTCAGTAGGGCCAAAAGATTTCCTAGATCGCTCCTGATCAACACGCTCTCTACCAGAAGCTAACGCCTCCATCTCCTCAGCATCCTTGGCTCTGCTTACCAGCACATCAAAAATCTCATCTTGAAGGGCTACCACCTGCCTACGTAGCTCGTATCTGAGTCCAAAGGCAAATTTACGACATCGATCTCTTTCGGTAGGCACCAGACTGATTCCATACTTTAACAATTTCAAGAACTCTATCTCATACTCTGAAACAGTCATGTCACCCTGAACCAAGTCCTGAAACTACTGTCGTCTCTGGACTAAGTAGCGCTCACCCAAGAATCGGCTCCGAAAGCGCTCCTTGAAGAAATCCCATGTCAAACGATCAGTAGAAACACTACTGGTCACTGACTCCCACCATGTGTGGGCATTGCCATCTAACATCGCTACTGCCCCCAAATATCTCTTAGTTGAGTCCAAACCCAACTGATCCATGCGTCTTTCTGTATCCTGTAGCCAATCTTCTGCTTCAGTAGGAATTCCTCCCAGCTGTCCTCCAAAAGTCCTGACCCCATTAGCAATTAGAGTCTGCGAAATAGGAACCTCAGATACAACACCAGCAGCTCTGACTGCTCCCTGTATCAACTGTAGAAATTGTCTACCAAAAGTCTCATCCAAAGCAACTCCGGTAGATTCTGACTCAATATCTGTCGCTCCTATGATCGGTGTAGTCATGCCAATACCATCGGTAGGAGGCATATTCGTTGGGGTCGTAGGAGCAGGATCACCTATCGGAGGTGGGGGATCTACTCGTATCTCATCGATCGGATCTGCAAATCTAGCCACTCGACCACGTCCACGGCTAGTTCGACGACCACGTCTAGCACTCATTTTTGGTGGATCTCAAGTTTGCTACAGAAGATAAAACTTAGGGTTAGATAAGCACTTGGAGTCTCGAACACAGTTAAAATTTTAATAACTTTGTGACATGACCTTAGTAACTTGTTTTGTAAATATTTCAAAATCGTATTTTCAATTTGGACTCATACACAGTCCGAGGTTTAAAAACCAAAGGCTCTGATACCAATAAATGTAACCCCCTAAACCCGGCCTATGCGTTTCGACTAAGTCTAGTGGATCACATTATGATTCTTTAAGACATTTTTCCGAAACCGTTATTCAAACAATGTAAAATCACATTATAAATGACATGAAATTATAATAAATCATACTATCAAAACCTAACTTGTAAATATAATACCAATAAGTAATAAATTAATTTAAAACATATCTTAAAAATCAAATCACGATAAACCGAATAGTAATAGTAAAAATTTCATCATATTAAAATCCCATACTTTAAATTAAGGTCCATGTTAACAAAATAAAGACAACTTGCAAGGTAAAAACATTACAATCAAATATACTTCAAGAGATATGTTGATCCTCCAAGTGCTCAATCCAAGGTATCTAACCAACAGTATCTGAAAGGGGGAAAAACATTTTCGAAAAGTGAGCTAGGCTCAGTGTGTCCCAACATTACCATAAAAATTCAATAGGTACACTAAACAAATCATAGTCCATTAAGTCCCATAAAATTATACTGCAGTAAATCTCTTTACAAAGCGTTACCCTAAGGGAACATCTTAGGGCCTGAGAGCCTACCCAAGATAGATTTCGGGGCCGTGGGGCCTACCTAAGAACACATCTTAGGGCCGCAGGGCCTACCCGAGAATGATCTCAGGGCCGCAGAGCCTACCTAAGAGTCACATTAGGTCCGTAAAATTTTCCAGCTTGATCAGAGCTGTACTTTATAAATTCGTATTCCAAAAATTTAATTGCACCGTGTTATAAATTCCATAATCCATAAACATGGTAATCATATACCATTTCAAAACAAATATCAGATAACAGTCATAATCCATAAATCATCACATTAAATCGGTGCATCAACAAATCGGAAACCAAAGAATTCAGTGTACCACATATTAAAACAAATAAAACAGTTCAGTAATAAATAGGAAACACACCTCGATAATAGTTCAATCGTGGATCTACTGATTGCTGGTTTCACCACGCTCTGCTACAGTTTTCGAACCTAATTTATAATATCACTATATTACTAATGGGTAACATAAATAAATCTCTAAAATCATAAAATTTACGAGTCTTACGAGTGAATACTGGTATACGTGGTTTAACTGATCTAGAAGAGTTGGGTCGAGCTATCGAACGATCCGGAGAGTCTCTTGTACCTTCAAACAATAATAATTAATCAGCCCCAAATCTTACTTAATTGTTCAAAGCTAGAATTCTTAAGTATATAAGCATTTTTCGGGTTTGACTATCATTTTGGGGTATTTCGAGTCTGAATTTGGCCAAACGGATTGCGGAATCGGAATCAGGACGTCGAAAAATATAAAGTATGACTTTTTGAAAATTCAGATTCTTGGTCAAAGTCAAAGTCAACCACTTTGACCGTAGATTTGGAGACCTTCGGATTCGAATTTGACAAAACGGACCACGGAAACGGATTCGGCACGTCGAAAACTATCAGGATAGGTATACTCGGAAAAGATTAACGGTCGTTTAATGCTCGGTCAAAGCCATTTTAAGTTTTGGTCAAAGAAAGTCAACGGTCAACGGTCAACGGTCAATGGTCGGGTCGACGGTCGGGTCGGGTCGGGTCAACGGTCGGGTCGGGTCAGACCGGTCAAACCGATTCAGACCGGTCAAACCGGTTCGAACCGGTTAAAACCGGTCAGAACCGGTTGAAAACCGGTCAAACCGGTTTCCAGCAGCCACTCGCCCTGCGGCGGCGCGTGTGGCGCGTGAGGCGTCCTCCGGGGCCCTAAAAATCCCGGAAAAATTTCTAAAAATTATTTTGAGCGATTTCAAGATACTTACAACGATCGGTTCAAATTTTTGAACGGCGGAGAGCTCGATTTCAAATCGGCCGAATCTTTGACTGCACCACCTCCTCACGCGCCGCCGTCTACGGCGGACAAGATTGACACCGGTGAACTCGGAACGGCACAAGGAACACGATGGTGCGGGAGGTGTCGTAAACAGAGCAACGATCAGTGGTGAATTTAAGATTTTCTCGGCGATAGAGCTAACAAAACCGTCGCTACTTTGACTGGAAATTCCCGACGTTTGGCCGCGTTTCGCTTCAATTAATTTGAAGGTTTTGCTCCTCGCTCGATGATGAACACAACGGTGGTTTCAAAACAACGATCGGAATTCGGACGGCGTCGGAATCGAGTTTGGAAGTTGTGTGCGTGAGTAAGAATTTCACAATTGTTTTCTGTTTTGAAAACAGAAAACCATTCATACGTTTATATGAAATTTTCTGCCGACACTAAAAGGAGTAATGCAGGGCTTGGTCCCTGAATTTCCTTTAACTTCTAAAATGGCCTAAAATTTTGAAAACTTTCGATTTAATCCTCAAAATTTTGCCAAATTACTTAATTAAATTTTTTTTTCTCTAAATTTTATTCCGGGTTGTTACATGCCAATTGGGAAAAGGAGAACTTGCTAATCTAACAAATAGTTTTCATTTTATTGACAATAAAAATGAACCAAAACCCTGAACAACCTTCAATTTTGGTATGGAATTGACTTTGATCTGAGCAGGTTCCCTTTCTCGAACTCACTTGGTATGGATACAAAGGAAATTCTCATAAAATCAATAAGTTTCTGTATGGAGGAAAAACCATCGGTCAGTAAATACCATCAAACAGAAAGAATGAGAGAAACATTCACCAAATATATCCCAACATGTTATTTTCGATGGAAATCAACAGTCCCACAGAAGTTCTAATAGATTAGTATCCTTTATGTTGGAAGCTTCTATGTTCCATTTCATGTAACAGCTGAGGCATGTATACAATAAAATAAAAAAATATCATACATTTTTCTAGAATAGAAATAAAGGGCAAAACTCAAAAGGTAGAAAAAGACTACCTTAGCATCTTCATAAGTTGACATGTAACCAATAGATACTCTAACCGCTCCAGTTGGTTTTCCATTTATTACATCATTGTCATCCCAACAAACATGCCCAGCCTGAACTCAAAGCAAAGCAAAAGTAAGACAATCATGCAGTAGGAATAGGTAGGGTAGAATGAAACAAGAACAATAAATGGTTGCTGTTGCAAAATAAACTCTAAAAGGGGAGGAAAATATCCTTCATGCAGTCATGTCCTAAAGAAAACTCACTCGTTTTCCTGTTCGCTCTAACAGTCCACTAACTTCTCCAGTTCCATAAAATGAGGTACCAGCAGGAAGCTTAACAAGAAGCAAGTCCACCAGATCAGTTAACAAATAAAGTGAACAAGAGAAGAGACTTAACTCTAAAAGAAAAAAATACATTATCAAAGTGAAAACAGAATATGCTGAATAATAAATGCACAATGGTTTGCCGAGGCAAAATATTCTAAAATGCAAAGCAGTATTAGACCTCAAGTTTGACAATTTGTTGTCCTAGACGACACTCAAAGGAAGGGATATACAAAGGAGCCTTGTTGCTCAGAATTGGTACATCCCATTTTTCATTTTCGACAATCCAATAATTTCGCAACAAAAAGTTAAAACCAGAAGCAAGACTGAATATGATTGAGAGAAGCAAACAATCAAATAAACTGAGGCATGCTGTGACAATTAGGGAAATCATTTCAATCCATTCAGATCCACAACCAAACCCCAACCCCTAATTCAGTTATTAACTTATCAACAATTCAACACCATACCTATGAACATTGAACAAGATTAAGCGCATTCAGAGCTATAAATCTCCGAGAAACCACAACAAATATGGGATTTTGAACAATGGGGAATCGATCAAAACAATCCCTAACCTGAAATAAGCCCGAAATATGAACTGGGTCGGTTGAATCTCCCCACTTTGGACCCTGGAATCAAAGACCTGCTAACAAAGAAAGTAAACCCAGATTCAGGAACATGCACATTCAGGATTTAAACGATTCAAGAGAGGGAAAAGGGTGGTAATGGGTGAAGAAAATTACCTTCGGTGAACTTGATAAAGGGTGCTTCGAAAGAGGGGTAGGCGCAAGAGCTGCCATTGAAATCAGATGGATCTTAAAAAAAAGCTAAAGAAAAATATAAGAGAATAATGAAGAGTGCTTTGGTGATGAAAAGGAAATGAAGGAATTAAAGGAAGAAACAATGAAGTTTCGGTGTGGAGCAAGGGACGGGAGAAGGAATTTCAAAATCAGTATGGAGCAAGGGACGAGAAAAGGTGGAAAATGACTTACGGATTTCCAAACAGTAAGTCATTTACAGTGTTTTTCCTTAAGTTTTCCGTTGACTGGAAAACAACTTACATTGACCTTTTATTTTATGGGAACCAAACATAGGAAAAGAGGCCAACCAAACAGACCCTAAATGATTCTAAGACGAGCATATCAGCATAAAATGCACAATAATACGAAAGGCATGTTTAATAGAATAACCATGAAGAATACTAAAATGATCTTATCTTACTGTAAGATTTTTGGCTTTCTGTGATGAACAATATTCGTTTGTGAAATTAGAGTCATCACTCAATAATAAATTATAAAGCTTCTCAGTTGTGCAAGGAAATACATCCTGCAGGAAACATTCATGAATCATAAGCATAGAAATTCACATCATAATAAAACCCACAAAGGCAGAAAAAGATAGGATGCATACATTGTAGATACCAACTAGAACCTGTTCTTTGATGAAAGGTATTTTTTCAGTTTTAGGTTTAGATTCTTTATCTGGAGGAGTTCGATCTTGCCTTCTACTACTGCTCGCACGCAATGCTGATGCTGCTCGCTCCTACATGTTGGCAAAATAAATCAAATAAATTAAATTTTGATCTAATTAGTTGGTTTAAAGGGGGGGAATTAACATAAATACAAGCAAACAAGGATTGAGACCAGAAACAATCATTTTGTGGATATAAAAGCAAAAAGTTCAGAGCTGTTGTAGTATTTGCATTCACAACCAATTGTATTCACCCTGCACATTCTCATTGATCTAACCATGTAACTTTGTTTCCTGGGTAGTTGAAACACATCATTGGGGTATATCGCAGTTGGAACACTGCCTCCTAAACTGTATTGTATCAATTCAGTTAAGGACTTCTCTTTATTATTCAGCTTTTACAATCTCTCCAGCCACATATTCCCATCTGTTCTTGTTTCTTTTATAATTTTAATCCTACTCGCTGAACACAAACCAGCATTTCCCTACCTCTTCAACTTATATAAATAACATTTCCCAGCACCAATATTTCCCAGTCTCGATCTTTACCCCCTTTCTTTGAGCTCCCACAGTATTCTCAAGTTCTTCAATCCATCACAAGCTAAATTCTTCCTTTTTCACCCAATTTAGTGAATTCCTATTACGGAAGTACATATATATATATATATATATATATATGGCTTCTTCAAAATGCATTTACAATTAAATTCTCCTCTCTCACAGTAGATGGAGAAAACAATAAGAATAAGATTGTTTCAGCACTAGTTGAATATCAAAGGCCATCTTTTTGGGGAGAAAGAAAAGCCTTCAGCTATTAATTTTCATTGTTTCTAAAGATGAAAGGAAAACTAATTTTCTGTCCATATAAAAGTGATAATAAAAAATCAGGAGTGAAGTTCTGCAAAAGAAAGAATCAAATAAGAAGTAACAGATCACAGGGACATGCAAAAAAAACCTTCTTCTCAGCTTCCAACATTGCATGGTGGTTTTTTGTTGCACGCTGTTATGCTCGTACTGTGTGGTTCCTGTTCCAAAATGATGCAAATTTATACCTGAAAAAATAAGAATATAGAAAAATAAACACACCTTTACTCAATTCATGTTATAAACAGTCTCACTCATGCAATTAGGTTTACTCCTTACAATGTAATAACCTTAATATGGTTTTAAAATGAAAAGATTTCTGAATGGGAAACTGTAGAAAATGGGGGAGGGGGGAATCGACCAGTACAAACGACAAAAATAGAAATACGTATAATTTTAAATGAAAAAGAAGAGTGGTCCTTCAGAATGTGAATCAAATAAGAAGTAACAGATCATAGGGAAAACATGCAAAAAAACCTTCTTCTCAACTTCCAACATTGCATGGTGGTTTTTTGTTGCACGCTGTAATGCTCATACTGTGTGGTTCCTATTCCAAAATGATGCAAATCTGTACCTGACTCTACCTGAAAAAATAAGAAGATAGAAAAATAAACACACCTTTACTCAATTCATGTTATAAACAGTCTCACTCATGCAATTAGGGTTACTCCTTACAATGTAATAACCTTAATATGATTTTAAAATGAAAAGATTTCTGAATGGGAAACTGTAGAAAAGGGGGGAGGGGGAATCGACCAGAACAAACGACCAAAATAGACATACGTATAATTTTAAATGAAAAAGAAGAGCGTTCCTTCAAAATGTGATATCACTGCATCTTTCTTTAATGGAAAAAAAACTTTTCTTATTCAAGAATATAATTGAGCACAAAATGCAAAACAACCATTGAAATAAAATTAATACAAAAAATTAATGAAAAAATGTAATTTTTTTATATGACTTAGTATTTTTCACGTGCCAACAAAGCACCACAAGATTGGTAGAGAAAACCTTTTGCCAGCAGTTCACCACCAAAGCGATACAAACTTGTAGGAAAGACGGCACGAAGCAGCATTGTTAAGTATCATGTAAAGCAACTAGCCATTGGAATAAAAATCCTAGAAACAAGAAAGAACTAGCGTAGTGTGATATGTGATAAAAATAAAGTTATAAATGTTCTAGCTGAATGAGAAAACTTCTCCGGAATTTCTGAGGTCCAAAAAATCTTATATTTGAGATTCGTTGTTATGTCTAAAGCTAAAATAAAAATAATAAAAATCAGAATCGAAGTTTATGATATGAAATGCTAATAGGAAGAGAATATTTTTCTTGAGAAATGTAGACCTAATATATATAATCTTTGTAAAACATAAGTGTCATAACCATTTTTTTTTAAAACAATTAAATATTATTTTTAAAAACAATTATGACTTTAATTTGGAAAAATGGGTGATTTTGCATTGATTTGAATAAAATTAAAAAGAGTCGCCATCAACCTTTGGGTTAGGTAGGTCGAATACCTAAAAACGTCTTTTAAAACAATTTTAAGAAAAATCATTTTTTAAGACAAGATTCGGTCTGCGTTACCAAAGATTCATTTAAATGGATTCGGGAGTCGATTACGTGCGGGGAAGGGTAAGCACCCCACAACGCCCAAAAACTGGTACTGTGTCGCTTACATGTTGTCGTAAAATGGTGGAAACTATAAATCGAATATAAAGTTAAATTACGATCCATTTATTGAAATTTAATTAATTTACTTCGAGTTAACTATTTAAAGAAAATCCTTTAACTCGATAAGAAATCTTGAAATTTGCAATCCTCCGTCGGGAAAGCTATTTCAACTATTTCTCTTTTGTAAAAGAATATTCTACCATTGATTATGTAAAAAAAATTGCGAATCAAATATAACTAAAAACGATGTTTACATACGGGTAAATTGATTAACTAAAAACGTGAATTGAATACAAATTAAAAATTTGAAATTTACATTCACATAAAATAAAATAAATTGTCACTTAAAATAACACACATTGCATCGTTTGAATAAATTAATTAGCAAAATATACTCGACTTATTTCAAGTTTCTATGTCGTTAAAATGCCGTACCGGATCACACCACTTCGATCAAGTGGTACTTTCCACGCCCATTCTACGCATACGTGTTCTTGAAAATATAATCGAATATTTCTTACATAGATAAAGATATAATGAAAATAAATGTAATTGGAAATACAAAAATAAAATATTTACATTAAATGAAATTGAAAACATTATTTACATAATCCAAATAATTAAGTAATGAGTAAAATACACATCCATACATAAATGTCTAAAAATAAATTAGTAAATATTACAAACCAAAATTAATATAAAACATTTAAGAGGCTAAAATAATATAAACAGAAACTTAGGAGGCTAAACAGCAAAAACAGAAAGTTAATGGACCAAAAAAAACACTAACCGAAATTTAAAGGACTAAATAAAAAATAAAAATAATTTAGAGCCCATATCACAAACATTAAACAGTCAAATACTAGAAGTGAAAATAACCCAAAAGTAAAGCTTATGACTAAATTGAAATTTCACAGAAACATGGAGGATCAAATAGTAATTAGATAAAATGTCAGACAGTGACCAAAATAGAACATTTGCAAGTATGATGGCTGAATTCAAACATCCACAAAATATCACAATACAAGAACTTAGGACTAGACTGAAACTATTACAAACATAATGTCTAAAAGTCAAATATTCACAAAAATGACATAACATACATTAATAGGACTAAAATAAAATATTTAAAAATGGGATGGCCAGATTCGAATATCAAAGAAACATACATGAAATATTAAATCAGTGGCTAAGATGTAACATTTAAAAATATTGAAACCAGAACCAAATATAAACCAAAAAATGTTATAATACCTAGGATAGTGACTAAAATGAACCTAAAAGAAAATTTAAGCCTAAATCAAATATTAATCCCAATCGAACCCACAAGCCAACATAAAGGACCGAAATGAAAAGGATACAAAACAGATGACCAAAATCATAAACCTCACCGAAAATAAAAACTAAGAACAAAGATGGACTAAAATAGAAGGCAACCCAGTTTAAAGACTAAAACATAAATGTTAATAAATTCCATTAATATACATACAATGATCAAAATAAAATTAATCACAAATCAATAAACCTGAATAGGCATAAAACCAAACTAACATTACAGAAAATTTAAGGACTGAAATAAACATTTCACAAATTCCAGGCTTGATATATAAAAATTGTCATAAACATCAACACATATGTTAGGACGAAAATATAACAAGAAATAAAAAGGAGACTCAAATAGAAAAACTGAAACCTAAAAGACTAAATAGGAATTAAGCCATACACAAGCCAATGGCTAAAATAAAATATTCACAAATATAGTGACCAATGTCAAATATTAACAAAAATAACTTAACAAATAATAAAAGGACTAAAATATAAATAAGGAAACATCAGAATCTGAAATCAAATAAATGAAACTTCATTTAATGGCTAAATAATACGGTTACAAAGCATCAGGGACCAAAAGCGTAGTTACCCC